CTCATGATGCTGTATATAGCTAGAGCTAAGAATGAGACAGAAATGCATGACACTCTTATACTCTGTTTTGGTTTTTAAAAAACAGCAAAACTAGGAAATGTTTCACCCCCTCCAGAGCACAAACTAGGATGGCTGGACATAAGACAATGTGACACGCAGCTTTTAACAAATACAGGTTATGGGCTGGCAGGGTGGCTCAACTGGTAGAGTATCTGCCTAGCAAGTGTGGAGCCCTGATTTCAAACTCCAATACCGCAAAACAACAAAAAATAACCAAACATAGGTTGAGCAACCCTAACCCCAAATCCAAAGCTTTCTTGAGCAATGAAGCCTAAGAGGAAAATTTCACACTTGCTGTCATGTGACATGTTGCCATTAAATGCAGACACACTAAATTACCTTAATGCTATTTGTGAGACAAACTTTGTGTTTTGACTTGGATCTCATCCCTGAGATACCTCATTTTGAACATGCAAATATTTCAAAATCTCAAATAATGGATAATGGATAATCAATCTGTACATTAAAAATTCTATCTTTCATTGGCAGTACTGGGGTTTGAACTCAGGGCTTCATGTTTGCAAGCAGGCACTCTACAGCTTGAACCACACCTCCAGACCATTTCACTCTTATTTTGGAACGGGGTCTCATGAACTATTTGCCTGGGATGCCCTCCAATAGTGATCCTTCTCAAGTAGCTAGGATTACAGGCGTGAGTCACTGGTGCTGGCTGGAAATTGTCTTCGTGAGTGTTGTTTCTTTAAAAACAATCAATCTTTTGAGTTACAAGTTTATATAAATGCTGTCATTATTTACTAAACAAAATTTTCTACAAATACATTTTAAATCTTCCTCCCTAACCCAAAACTGAGATGGATAATACAACGCCTACACCTAGGATTATAAAATCTCTTATAAAGATATATTCATCGATCTTAATTTCTGACCCAGAATATACAGCTGTTTCTGTTTTTCAAACAGGGTCTCCCTGTGTAGCCCAAGTAGCCTGGAACTCACAATCTTACCACCTCAACCTCCCCAGAGCTGGGGATTACAGGCGTGTGTCAGCAAGCTAGGTTTTCAGGCTAGGGTAGCCTTCTTTCCCACCTTAGGGTACCCACATTACTGTCTGTGCTCAGGGAATGAAAACACATTTAACATGACCACACAAGTCTATCCAACAAATCTGTTACTCAAGTAATATACACTTAGTGGTAAAGATTTTAAGAACTTGCTTTTTGGCAGGGGATGGCGGGAAGGGGGGGTGCGAAGCAGGGACTGGGGTTTCAGCTCAGGTACTTTACTGCTTGAGCCACACCTCCAGCTCTACAAACTTGCTTTTTTTTTTATCCTAACCAGGGCCCCTTACTCTTGCTAACTTCACCAAGAGCTCATTGCTCTTGTGAAATGGTAAAGACTGCCTGACTGCTATGTTCTGGATTCAGCCCCAAACAGATGGCCATAGCATCCATGCATCCAATCCATCCATCCAATTGATTTGTGGTGCTAGGGGTTGAACCCAGGGCTTTGTGGAGTGCCAGGCAAGCACTTTACCACTGAGCTATATTCTCAGCCCAAGTCACAGCACTCAAGAGATAGGAATAAAAGTCCTTTATTTCACAAGGAAGCCAAATAACAAGAACTAGTGTTGTGGACTCTTGAAAACCCCTACCAGTGACCATATTAGCCGAGTCACCTTTTTAAAAAGAATCATCTGGAAATTCAGTGGTTTAACAGGCTGAATCTCTTGGGAGGTAGATTAGAATTGGAGCTATTGCCAGTCTGCCCTTGAGGGTGGCTAACATTTCTGTCCCTTAGAGCTCTTTCATGGCTTTTTCTCATTTATATCAAAGTCCAGAGATCAATGTGCAAAACTGTACCCTGTTAGAAATCTTTTTTAAACTAGCAAAATAGAAAAAATAAAAAGCAATAAAATAAAAAATAAAAATAAAAAGAGAATGTGTTACTTCTTTCCTGAAACAGGAAAAAAAGTGGCCCTTTGCAATGCTTTTAAGTGTGACTGCAGGTATAAGCCACAAACTTCAAGGGCAAGTAAACCAGCCTTTGTTGAAAGTCTGCTATGAGGCATACACTTAACACCATTCTTTCTGTGGATGTGAAATCTACAGCTTCCCAGAACACCAGGTTAAATTCATGCCTACTTATGCCTCAAGCTGTCCCTTGGCCACAGTAGCTCTCAGAGGCCTCCTTCCTCATTTGTTAGCCTTTCCTGCCTGTCCCACCAAGGTAGCCCTTAATGCAGAATCACAAACTGGGTTTCAACTTTTTTCCCCCTAGAAGAGGAAGGGGGCAGAGATCATTTGATCAAGATGTCCCTTTTCATGTTGTTAGCAGCAGTAACTTTTCAAAAATTTAACTGGGACCAGAGAGGAAAAAAGACCCAGGAGCACAATCAATGATTGGTAAATGGCACTAAGAGCCTAGCTAACTGAAAAAAATCAAAATCTAAATGAGCATTTGTTTAGTGCAGTGCCCAACACAGTGCTGTACTGGCATTTTAACAGAAATAGCTCAGTCTGCAGCTATTCACCCAAACATTTGTGGTCTTCGTGTGGGGAAAAAAAAAAAGGTGTGGGGGTATACATCTATAAGCTCATGGAGGTTGAGGCAAGAGGACAAGCTTGAGGCCAGTCTGGGTAATTTAGTAAGGCTCCATCTCAAAAATAAAAGGGCAGGGGACATATCTCAGTGGTGAAGTGCTTACCTAGCACGCTTGAGGCCTAGAGTTCAATCTCCAGTACAAAAGAGCACAGGTCTTTAGGAAAAAAGACCTTTGAATATTTGTGTCTTCTCAAGATTTTTATGTTAAAGTCCTGACCCCAGAGTGAGGACATTTGGAGATGAGAATTTTGGAAGTAACTGGAGTTAAATAAGGTCTTTAGGGTGAGGCACCAAGAGCTTGCTCTCTACCTCCCTGTGTTCAAAGAGGTTATGTAAGCACAGTCAAAAGGTGACCATCTACAAGCCAAGAGGAAACCTCAGGATGAAATCTACCTTGCCAATCTTGATCATTGACTTCCTGACCTCCAGAATGTTAAGAAATAATTTTCTATAGTCAATGGTGTTTTGTTAAGAAAGCCTGGACACATACATTATAATACCACCCCAGGAAATATACTGAATTTATGAAATAATTAGTTATAGAAAGGAAGATCAGAAAGAGTGAGCTTTGCACATTAAAAATATGATGGGCGCTGGTGACTCACATCTGTGATCCTAGCTACTCAGGACGCAGAGATCAGGAGGCTCGTGGTTTAAAGCCAGTACTGGGTAAATAGTTCAGGAGACTGACCCTATCTTGGAAAAACCATCACACACACAAAAAAGGCTAGCAGAATGGCTCAAGCGGTAACAGCACTTGCCTAGCAAGCGTTCAAACCCCAGTGCTGCCAAAAAAAAAAAAAAAAAAAGTCAAAATATGTTCAAAAGGTAAAAGCAAAAGGCAAAGAGAAGGAAAGCAAGAAAGGTAAGAAAAACAGAAGATTGTTAGAACTCGAGAGAAGCTATGGAAAAGAAAAATGAGTACAAGACAATTTCCCAGGACTGAAGAAAATGAGTCAGTCACCAGGAGGGCCTGCTGACTACCCCAAGTCAATAAATATATACACACTCATGCCAAGGCACTTCTCATGGCAAAACTTCAGAACAAAAGTTTTGGAGAGGCAGCAAAATGGGTCATATAGAAAGATCTGCTATCAGAAACAACAGGCTATAAGACAATGAATGCCTTAAAAAATTCTCCAAGGTGATTTCCAACCTAAAATTCTATATTGTCAGTTACACGTGAGGCATTTTCAGATTTGCAACTTAAAATTTTTACTTCTCAACTATCCTATTCTCAGGATGCTCATGGAAGAAGTACTGTTCTGAAATGAGGAAATAAACCAAGCAAGAAAAGGTAACGTGCAGGAAACAGGATCTAACTCAGGAGAAACAGAAAGTTGAGTCTCAGACACCAGAGGTGCAGAAGGTCTGGAGAGTAACAGCATGAACTGCAGCCCCAACACAGTTCCAGGAAAGACAAAGGAACTGTTAGTACTTGAGACATATAACTACAGAAGACAGTTTTAGAGGGCTTTCTCAAGCTTGTGGTGAGTTTGGGAAAATCTAGTGACAGAAACATAGAAACTTTCAAAGGAACCAAGACAAGAAAATTAACAACAGGAGAAGCAAAGAGTTGTATAATAAAGGAGACATAATGATAAAAAACCACTAACTACTAATCTAATGAAAAACTGCCACCTCTTGATTAGAAGACTACAGGGGAAAGGGGGCATGGGGTAGTAAATACCCAAATGCCTGCATGTCTTAACATAAAATTATTGAGGGAAAAACGGAAATACCAAGAAATACCTAAGTACATAATTTAGATCAATACATCCTAAAAACAGCTCAGAGTTAAAAGTAAATGCTTCAGTAATGGTGATATTCAAAGCCAGGGATTGGCATTGTTCATAAAAAGTCCTTAAACAGCCAAGCACCTAAGGCTCAAGACTGTAATACTAGCTACTTCGGAGGCTGAGATCAAAAGGACGGCAGTTGGAGGCAAGCTTGGGCAAATAGTTCGCAAGACCTCATTTCCAAAATAACCAGAGGTATGGCTCAAGTGGTAGAGTGCCTGCTTTGCAAGTGTGAAGCCCTGAGCTCAATGAGTTCAAACCCCAATCCTACAAAAAAAAATCCTTTATCTGCTTTTTTCTTTTTGGTGCTGAGGATCAAACCCAGGGCCTCTCCAAATGCCAGGCAAGTACTCTACACTGAGTTATATCACAGTCCTCTGATTACCTGAATTCTTAATATTCATGTTACTTTGTTAAAAACCTAAAATAAGTTGGTGGAAGATGTTTTCCTTCAGTGTTTTATTCCTCCTCTTCTTCAAAAGATAAAACCTATTAAATAACTTAGCATAAAAACAATTCTTCCTAATTAAAAAAAAAAAAAAGCCACAGGGCTGGAGGTGTGGCTCAAGTGGTAGAGCGCTTGCCCAGCAAGTATGAGATCTGGAGTTCAAACCCTAGTTACCCCCACCTTCCCCAGTCACAAACATCAAAGTAAAATGCACACTAAACCTTTGAAATAGAGCTTCTGTATCAACCAACCATCCAGGAATCTTTGAACTTTTCTCAGACCCTAGGCACTGCAATTAAGGAAACAGGCAGGCATGGTGGTGAATGCCTGTAGAGGTGGGGGGCATACCTTGAGAACAGGGGTTTCAGGCCAGCCTGGGCAACATAGTGAGAATGTCTCAACCTGTGCATGTACTCATACATGCACAACACCTGTCTGTACATACTTTATGCTTTTTGATAGTGAACTCTATTGCCTGTTACCCATATTAGGGTATCCAAATTACAAATTAAAATTTGTATAGTAAGTGATGTCTTAAAAGTATTCTACTCTTAAAAGATTTCTTGGTGTATTTAACACAGAAATTCTGGCTAGATTCTTATCTCAGCCAGGCAATTGTTAGTTACTGGAAGTGTTCAGATCAGAAATGCTTCCCTGGATCTGAAAGCCAGGAGGATTTATAAGTAGTTTATTCTGAATCTGGTTTAGAACAGGAAAGGGTTATGCTTTCTATCCAGAACTTTGGCATTTTGTAATACATTCAGAATGACGCCATAACACCATTAAAAAGCTTAAAACATTCATCCTTAAAAATATGAGCATGTTCTTTGCATACCTATTAGATAAATATTTATTCTTTCATACGATTCTGTCAAAAAAGGGGAAATTTAAGAAAGGGAAAAAATGGACACTAAAGAAGTTTATTTCTAGGCCTGAAAGAAAATTGAATGAAGTCATCAAGTACAGCAGTGAGTCAATGTAACAATTACAAAATTGAATGGGATTAAGTTAAAAATTAAAGGCAATATAAAATCTGAAAACAAAACAGAAAAGACAGGCTACTTTTACGTACTATCTACCAAAAGAAGAAAAAAAAATTAAGCCAACACATTCCAACCAAAGATTTTGAATTTTAAATATAATTTTTTGGTTTTATGTATCTATAGAATAAAAATTTGTTTGACAGATTATCATACATTTCTTTCTGCCTCTTGTCTTGGCAATATTCTAGAAATGTGAAGACTCCAGTTCTTTCAAGGCCAGGCCAGTGCTTAATTTTCTTTGTAACTCCAACAACCTCTAACACAGCATCTTTGTCAGTGTCCAATATTGAGAAATACTAAGAAAAAAATCTGTTCAATAAAATGTATTGAGAAAAAAATTTGTACTTTTTTCTTATACACACATATGTATACACTGCTATGGAAAAACTGGATTTAACAGTTCAAATATCTTTTGTGGGAGTAGTAGAGACAACAATCTTTTTTATATTATTATGAAATTGTACTATAAAACCCAAAACACCACATCCAGTACTTTGCACTTTAGTTTTTCAGATAGGGCGTCCACTTTTGCCCTGCCTGGCCCCAAACAGAGATCCTCCTGCATAGATAGGATTACAGGTGGGAGCCATCACACCAGCTAGATGCAAATTCCTTAAGCACTTATTTTTTTTTCTTGCTGTAGCTACTGTCTGATCAGATCTAAAACAATTCTGGTAAGAATACAGTATATACAAACATATATTTAAGTGAGACCTACAGAGAAATCCTCATAGTTTAAAATTGCTTGTTAAAGACACAGGAAGACTGATTGATGGCTACTAGATAAATTTTAGGCAGCTTAGTATTTATCTGTTGAAAGGAAGAGGATTCATACTTTGTGCAGTCACTCAACTCCTGAAAACAGAGATGTGCCAGCCATGGTGTCGCATGCTACACGATCTGTTTGTTTAACAACCTAGGTGGGATAAAATATTCAATACTTTCATGGCTTCCCAGTTTTGTTTCTAAAGGTAGCAAAAGAACAAAAGGAGAAGACAACTTTAGGACCACCAGAAAGTTTGCAATATAATAAATAAGTGCTATAGTAATATTATCCTAATAACATAACAGTCCTGCTAAGGTAACTTTTAGATTTAAATGGGAATTCTAATTTTTAAAAAGATAAAAAGTGTGAATACAAAAAGACAATTATTAGCAAAACATGAATCTTGATATATATATATATATATATATATATATAAATTGTTCTTTCAACAAGATCAGAACATTTTAATTTAAAACTAACTAATAAATCACAATTCTGTATTGCTTTTAAGATTATTTTGCTTAAAAAGGACACATTTCAGATTAACCAAAGTATATTTCTAATACAGGTTAGTTTATCCAGGTAAGTAAGGAATAAACCACAGTGCAGCTCCCTTAACCTAGGAGTCAGGTTTTAATGACAAAGTCCGTTGCCAGCAATGGACATGCAGGTAACCATCAAAGATGTAAATACAAATCCAAAATTGCTTCTATCAATGGAAAAGCCCTTTGTTGAGTCACAGCATAAAACAGGGGCATTGGCACATATCCCATGAATGTGTTCTCTATGATATAGGATGGAAGTGCCTTCTTGAGTGGTCATGAAGATCATAGTCTTATCATCTAGTTGGTTTTCTATTTTCTTGGTAGCATCTTCTTAATCACAATCCATCCAGACAACTGTTTACAAAGAATGTTCAAATCTGGAGCTGAAGAAGCACTGCAGCTTTCCCCCAGAAATAAACCAGCTTGTTTCTGCAAAGTAATTTAGTGATAGTTGTAGGCAGCCAAATATAGACCACAGAAAAATGAAATCAAGAATCATATTGAAAACAGAGGCCATTAAGTGCTCGAGCTATAAGTTTTGTTAATTTTCCTGAAAACCTTCCTGTGTTATCAGTAACAAAAAATACCATTTCTCTTTATAACTGTATTTAACATAGGTATGATGGAAATGGGAAATAAGATACTGCCAGTTTTCCCAATATATCCCAAAACAGTAAAATTATTCTTATTCATGATTTGTATTTTTGCAGGATGGCAAACAGGAGTGAAATTCTCTGGGTGGAAATGGTGGGAAAAAAATGCCAAAACCAGCCACAGATCTTCCTCTTTTATGTGGTTCCAGGCATATCAGAATGGACAATACCTCCTCCAAAAGCAAACAACAAAGCGACAAGGAGAAGCAGAGGAGAGGAAATAAAGACAGGGTGGGGAGAAGAGAGGGCACTCTAATAATTAATGCTACAGGTCACAGACCTTTTATTAAATCTTTAAAATAAAAACATATCACTATCAATAAGCACATTTCATTTTCTTCCTTTCTCCAGTTTTTTTAACACGAATAATCTACTTATTTGAAAAAATAAAAACTAAAGACAACATATCAAATGACCCATGAATCCATCAACGAGTACTCTGTTATTTAAATTTTCACAGACAGTAAAACATTGGTAATGGGTTGGGGACACAGTAACTTATGACAAATCTTTACAGTTTACTGGTCATAAGCTATGTCTCTATAATATTGACATTTCTCCTTCATGATTTTAACTATCTTAGAGCTCACCAAGGTTCAAGTCTACTTTCTTTTTGCTAGCTCCACATATTTTTTCTTTTAAATAGAAAAAAAAGAGTTAACTTTTAAATTCTGAAAATTCAATTATTATATTATTTGCCCCAGAGGACAAGTGTATGTGTGAGGTGAGAGAGGGTTAATTAAAAAACAAAAACAAAACTGAAACCTAAAATCGCAACATATACAGAAACTTATTTCCAAAACAAAGGGGGAAGAAGAGGGAAGGAGAAGGCAGTGGCACCAACCAAAGTCATAAAAGCTCAAGGTGGAACAATAACAATCTACTTTGGTTTCTGAGGCCAAATTTGGAAATAGACTGAAAGAAACGACAAAATTGTAAGGGTTTACAGTCAGTGGGATTCTTTTTCTGTCTCAATGATTTAGTTATAAATATAGATACTAAGTCTTTCTATACATGTAACAAATGTCAAACTCACTACCATGAAATTTCTAAAACTCACTTTCACATTTGTTAAGAAGGTAAAAATCACACTTTTCTTCTTATTTCAGTTCTAGTTGTGAACCAAAATGTAACATGTAACAATAGCTGGTCCTAACTTCTATAAAAAGTTAAACCATATCAAGCTCCTTTGCCAATATAAAGAGCTACACAATTTCTATCATATTTGCATGGAATTTAGGCCTGCGATAAACTTCTCAAAGCAACTCAAAAGGAGCAAGACAAAGAAAAGAAAAGCTATAAAGGAGAGAAAAAAGTCTAGATGAAACAAATACTCTGAAACACTCGAATCTGTCATTCAAGTATTGAAAATACCCCAAAGGAGACAACAAAGTCAGCAAAATAAAATGCAAACCTCGAGCATAATAAATGGCCCCAACAGGCACTCTGCTAAAAGATGTAAGGCTAGTGATTCAGTCCACAATTCCTTTTGGACCCTAAAAAAGGGGTTCATTTGAAAGTCATAATCCTCTTATTGTAATTTTCTCTTGGCCGTCTTCAGGGAATACTAGTTTTTGTTTTTCCCTTTCCTCCATGTTACGCAGACCATCTGTTTAAACCCCCCCTCAAAAAAGTGATAATTTTCATATATTAAAAGACTTCTTTTAGAAAATGGAAAAAAGAATATGAAGCCACGGCAATGGTGTTAACGGTTACTCTTCATTGCTTCTTTAGCTGCCATGATCAGCGGAGTCAAACTAGATAATGGTTTGGCCAGTTTCAGGAAGGGATGCTGTCAGAAAGGGGGTGGGGAGAAGAAACATAAATGTCAGTTTAGAAACAAATATCTTCTTTAACTATTATAGTTCATAACCTGTTTAGTAAACTAAGCAAATTCTCACAATCATACTTTAATAGCTGAAAGTAGAATTGTTTCAGTTTTTCTAATTACATAAAATTGACAGTTAAATGGCCCATGAATACACTCATGCAGCACTGAATGAAACCTTAAATGTAGCAGCTGCCTTACTGCTGGTGATCACTGAATAATGAAATACTGTTAACACAAAGAAAACTTTCTATTGGTACTTAAAATATCAACTTTTCCCCCAAAATGGCATTATTTTCAAATTTACCTGCAACAATTCTTTGGCTGATCCCCTTTTCTCCACATCCATTTCCAAACATCGATTTAAGAAATCACGAAATATTGGGGAAAGTTTCTCTGGATTCTGAAGTTCTGGGGTTCCATTAGTTGCTATCAGATACAAGGCCTAAAAACAGAATAACATCTTTGAAATCCTTAAGGGAGCTTGATAGTATACTTGATTGAGTTTATTTTGGACCGCTTAATTCTTTAAAGACAATCAAAAGTGAGGTTATCATTACCTTGACTCAGATTCTGTATTTTTAAAATTAAATAATTAGTTAACTAATTCTCTTTTTTTGTGGTGCTGGTGATTGAACCTAGAGTTAATGCTAGGCAAGCAGTCTACCTCTGAGCTCCATCTCAGCCCCCTTTTATTTTTAGGTATTTCATTCCTCTAAATTCATTTTAAAAAATCAGCTTCTGTGTGTGGGGGTATTGCTAGGGATGGAACCTACGGTCTTAGCATGTACTGTATCATTGCGCTATTACCCCAGATTCACTTTTTTGTATTGAATAATAAACACATTTTGCTTAAAAAAAACCAAAAAACAAAAAAACCTCCCACCTCTCATACATAAAAATATAAAGGAAATTGACTTCACTGCATACATATGTGGAATTATTATGAAATTATATGTATTAATGTATAATTCAAAAATAAAACACACAAAAAAGAAAAAGGTCTTCAATTCCACTATCAAAATACAGTATCCCATTAAATGTTCTAAAGATTTTTAGTCACTCATTTGGAAGGCTGGGGGTATGGGCTCAAGTGGTAGAGCGCCTGTCTAGCAAGCACAAGAACCTAAGGTACAACCCCAGTACCAGAAAAAACAAACAAAACCAAAATGGTCCCCTCCTACCCCCAAACAGGGTCATGCTATGTAGTCCATGCTGGCCTTGAACTTGCAATTCTCCTGCCTCTGCCTCCTTAGTGCTTGAACAAATGAATATTGTCATGTATGCTCCACTTATTCATCTTCTCCACACCTTCAAATCCTTGCAATCACTGATTTTTTTACTCTTTAAAGTTGAGATATCCTAAATTTATTCATATTTGTATTTTTTTATGGTGTTTAGAGATTGAATCCAGGGTCCATGCATGCTAGGCAAGGACTCTAGCACTGTGCTACACCCCAAACCCACACCTTGGTGGTTGGAATCATACAGTAGATAGCCTTTTTAGACTGGATTCATTCATTAGGCAATATGCATTTAAAGTTATTCCAGAGTCTAATACATCCATGCCATAGGCACAGAATAAATTGTGTTTCATTTCCTTATACGTAAATAAAAAAATAGTTTTTCCAGGTTTTTTTTTGTTTGATAGCTCAGTTCTACTGATGAATAATATTTCATTGCATGGATGTACCAGTCTATTCAGTATTTTTTTTTTCCGTGTGTGCTGGGGATGGAACCAAGATGATAGATAGTATGTATCTACCACTGAGCTATCTCTAGAATTCACTTTTTGAAAGACAGCATTGTTCCAGTTTTTAGCAATTATGAATAAAGATACTATAAACATTTGCAAATACATTTTTGTGTGAACATGTTTCAAATGATTTTGCTTATTACCCAGGAGCACAACTCCTGGGTCACATGGTAGGATTATGTTTAGTTTTGTGGGAAACTGCCAAATTGTCTTCTAGAGTTGGGCATTCCCATTAGCAATGTGAGTTCCTGTTCTACTTCTTCACCAGGCATTTGGGATTGTAAGTTTTTTGGACTTTAGCCACGTATCAATCACCCCAATAGGTGTGTGGCTTAAGAAGTGGTAGAGTAGTATGTTTTACTATTGAGTTATAACCCCAGATGAGAAGATTTTTTTTTTTTTTTTGGCCACAAGCAAAAAAAGACAGCCTAGGTTATATTGAAACTCACTATGTAGCTTAGGCTGGTCTCAAACTTAGGGTCCTCCACCTTAAAACTAATGAGTGCTAGATTAAAGGCATGCCTCCACACTCAGCAGAAGATTCTAACTTTAAGAAGTCAAATTTATTCTATTATGGATGGTGCACTTGGTGTTTTATCTGAAAATACTGCCAAAACCCAACGGTCACCTAGATTTTCTTCTGAATTAACTCCATTCTAAGAAATCATCTCTGAGATAGCAATTAATTTCATGTTAAGATCATAAGACTGTTCAAAGCCCTCACACCTCCATCAGAAGGGATTAAGACAGAAGCCCATAAAGTATTCTTACTAAGCTACTTAGTACCCTATCCCGCCATCACTAGCTCCCAACACATACAATCTTCTTTCCACTTTGGGATATATATCTCTGTCCTCTTTATCTTCATTTATGTTAATGATTAGGAACAGCCAGGACTCCCTTCACTACTCTAGTTTCTCCACACAAATACCCATGTGGCTTTCCACATTCTCTATACTCTCACTATGCTATGCTCTCTAGTGGCAAGTTTTTCCCCCGCTTCTTCCCTCTCCTACAATTTTGGGCCTGGAGGTGTAGTAAGTACCCTTTCGCCTTCTACTTGCTCTCTGAGATCCTTACTACCCTCTTCCTTCTATAAAACTCAGGCTTAGGATGGCATAAGTACCTTTCCTTATTTCAAACTCATATCAAACCCAAGGTCACTCCCCTCACTCCTTCCTTCTTCAAGATTATATTCCTTTGCACTGCTATCTCTAATATTGCAACTCAACTATTGGCTTTATTCTGCCTCCTATCTTCTTCACTCCTAGGATTCCACCACCAGCTATCCTGACCTCCACTGTACCTAAACCCCACTGATCTTTCCAGAGTCCACCATTCCTTTCTCATGTCACTTCCTTGACCCTCTCTCCACAGCATTTACTTGGGTAAATGTGGTTAAAAACTCTGCCTACTCCTTGCCTATAGCTATGTAGCTAAGTATGGTGGGAGAAAATCACTTACCTATGATACCTGGTATCACTTAAAATTGACATCTGCTAACCTCATGGACTGGTAGGGCCTCCAGCTATCATACTAGACTTCCCCATTCCATTTAGTCTCCAATTGTCCTTTTCCTGTTCTAGGATATACTACATTTAGACTCCTTCTGGCTGTGACAATGTCTCCGACTTTCCCTGTTTTTGATGACTTCAACAGTTTTGAGAAGTACTGGTCAGCCACTATGCTATAGTATAGGATGCTCCTCTACTGGAATGTGCTTGACATTCTTCTTGTGATTACACTGAAAATACAGTCTTGATATCAGAGTTAAGAGTGCCATTTTCATTGCATCCTACCAAAAGTACATAATAAAAACACAATTGATGGTTGATGTTGACCTTATCATTTGGCCAAGGTATTGTCTCTCAGGTATTTCCACTATAAAGTTTCTTCTGCCTTTCCATACTGTGCTCTTTAGAAGAAAGTTACTGTGTACACCCAACACTTAAGGAGTGATGAGATATGTTCCCCTTCTGGAGGGTGGAGTATCCATACAAGTTATCTGGAATGCTTCTGCACGGGTGATTGGTCTCTTTTCCCCCAAAGACTTATTCAGCCAGTTACTTATATCAGAATGCAAATACCTTACAGATATGCCCTTGCAATCCTCCTGCTTCTGAGCAGCTGGGATTATAGACATGTACTACAAGGCCTAGCTCCAATTTTTTTTCCCTTCAGTACTGGGGACCGAACCCAGGGCCTTGCACATGACAAGGACAAGCACTTGACCACTGAGGTATACTCCCACATATGCTCTTTCCAATCTTACTAAAATTACATCCCTGGTAAGAGAGACCCTTACCAGGATCGTGAGTTTTTTTTACCCTCCAGACTCAGCTCCAGCTATTTTACTCAAAGAGTTCACTATGACCCACCTGGGTGCGCACTCTCTCTCTCTCTCAAGTTGGGCAAGGATAGGGCTCACCTCATTTGTTACCCACTTTTACACATCACTGTCCTTTGCTGTATGATGCAGCATTTTGAAAACCATTGTTTCACATACTCTATAGTTTTGTAGATTATTTCAGGCAAGGAGGGATAAACTGGTCCCTACCCTCCATTTTGACAGGAAGCAGATGTCACCACTCACCAAGTTTTCACCAATTACATCCATACTGATCGAGTCTCAGTCCTCTTTTTCTTGTTTTTTTCCTTTTCTTTTTTTCTGGGGCTTAAACTCAGGGCCTCATACTTGCTAGGCAAGTACTCTACCACTTGAGCTAAGCTGCCAGACCTAAATTTTATTTAGTATTTTCAGAACAGAGATGGAACCCAGGGCCTTCTGCATGCTAGGCAAGCACTCTACCACCAAGCTTACCCCCAGCCCTCAGTCTTCATCTTAATTGACATCACTGGAGTTCCCAAACTGATCTCTCCTTCACTTTTTATGCACAGATCCCAGGGCAAATCGTTATCTGGTTTTACCTCCTTCTTTGGCCATTCCTTCTTAAATTTCCTTTGCTGGCCTGTCTCCATCAACTGTTAGCTATGGGGTACCTCAGGGTGCTGGCTGACTTATTGTCTGTCTATACCCACTTCACCTGATGATAACTTAGATAACTGCTATAGCTAAAGAGCCATTCCATTCTTTCTTCCCTCCCTCTTTCTCTCATGCAAACACTCCTTTCAAAACATATCCAGAATCCAACCACTTTTTTCACCTCCACTGACCAATAATATCCTGGTCTATTGTCAATTATTGCCTGAATTATCACAACAGCTAACTAACAACTAAGTAGCTAAAGCAATCCCCTTGAAATGTAAATCAGACCATTTCACTCTTTTGCTCCAAACTCTCCAATGTTTTCCATTTTATCTACAATAAAAGCCAGAATCCTTCCCAAGGCCTTTCAAGGCACTACACAGTGCCTTGCCTGTTTGTTCAATGCACTCTATGATGAAATCCTCAAGACCCTTGACACCAGAACACTTCTGCTTTAGGGCTTTTGCAATTGCTGTTCCTTCTTCAATTTCTCTTCCATCGTTTACCTCCTATGTGCAAATATTTTACCTCAGTGAAGCCCTCTGAAAGTGCCCTAATCTTCTCTGTATCAGTCCCAGCATTTAAGAGTTCATTACTTAATATATTGCATATCATTTTTGTTTATTTTATTGCTCTCTCCTCCCACTAGAATGTAAGTTCTACAAAGGTAGAATTTTTTATTGGTTCTTTTAGGTAGCACCTTGACCAGTGCAATGCACAGGCTGGTACTCAAACTAATACTGGTAAAATGAATAAAGCATGAAACTAGAGGAGGTTTTGAGAATTGGTCTGACAAATGTTATCTAATAAACATATTCTAACTGCTTATTTGAGCTGCAATGTTTTGGCAATGGGGCAAAAAGCAACTAGGAAGAGAGTATCAAAATCTAGTGCCATCTGTTATCTGGCTTTTACTTAGCATAATACTTTCAAGGTACTATAATCTTTACCAGTACTTCCTTTATTTTTTGGCTAAATAAAATTCCATTGTTCATCTGGTGATAGATATATGGGTTGTTTCTACTTTTTGCTGCTGTAAATATTGCTGCTGTTGGCTGGAGGCTCAAGTGGTAGAGCAGCTGCCTAGCAAGCATGAGTTCATACTCCAGTGCTGCCAAAAAAATCCCCCCAAAGCAAAACAAAAAATGCTGCTCTGAACATCCATGTGCAAGTTTTGTGTGAATGTCTGGTTCCTCCCCACTGCCCCCCAAGCCCCTTAAAGAAAGGTTCTTGCTATGTAGCCCAGGCTGGCCTCAAACTTGCAATCCACCTGCCTTGGCCTTCTGAGTGCTGGGGATTTTATGTGTGTGCCACAACACCTGGCTGGACATATGCTTTTAATTCTCTTGGGTGTGTACCTAGTAGTGGAATTGCGAGATTATTCATAACTCAATATCTTTTTGAGGAATTGTGAATTTTTTTCCAAAGCAGCTGTACCATTTTACATTCTCACCAGCAGTACACAAGGGTTACAATTTCTCTACATTTTACTAACACTTATTACTGTCTGTCACTACAATTATTCTAATGAAAAGGGGGATCTTGTGGTTCTGTTTTGTATTCTCTTAATGATGTTGAGTGCATAATGAAAATTTATCAGAGAGAGGGTAGTGAAAGCACTCCACTTCAGTTGCTCGTTATGTACTTGTTGAAAGTCTACTCTTTTGTTTGAATATGGGCTTTAACATTACTATTCATACACCATTCTCAGAGATGTAATCTCTCTTCTCTGTTCTTGGGGTACAGAGACCTGATTGCTGTATTCAGGGCATGTAAACCTAAACTTGTAGGAAAAGGTACCTTAACTGTGTAGAAAAAGGCACCTATCTAGGGTACTTCAACTCTGTAGAATGGATGAGTATATTCTTATATGCAAAGTAAGAAACCACATAGCTTACTATTAAAAATCTGCAAGCTCTTCAGCCAACACATTCAGCTTTGTAACTCAGAAGCAGTATGATTTTTAGATGTGGAGAATAAGGGCAGAGATTAAATTTTATCAACTTTGTATTCTAAATTCTTGTCCACCTAACACAAGCAAGTTCTAAGTTCATGCTTTAGTTAGTGTTTAATTGATCATACCCTTAAGGGATTTTCATTGAGGTACGGAGGCTCTCCTTCAACCATCTCAATAGCCATGATACCCAGTGACCATATGTCAACTTTGGGGCCATAAGCTTTCCGAGTAACCACCTCTGGTGCCATCCAGTAAGGTGTTCCAACCATGGTACTGCGTTTGCTCTGCTCAGGGGTGATCTGGGCACAGAAACCAAAGTCAGCTACAAAACAAAACAAAATATCTAGAGTTAATGGTTTCTAGGAATGATTTTGTCAAAAAAGTTCAGATGATATAATTATATTTTTATCATTCAGCCTGTTCTTTATTTTTAAGAGAATTTAATAATAGCCAGGCTCCAGTGGCCTGTAACCCTAGCTACTTAGGAGGCAGAGATCAGGAGGATCATGGTTTGAAGCCAAATAGTTTTTGAAATAGCTCAAAAATATCCAACACAAAAAGGACTGGTGGAGTGCCTGCCTAGCAAGCAAAAAAAGAATTTAATAATAAAGTGAACCATAATGGATTTAAAATTATTTTCATGGTGTTATTTATGCTCATGTTTTACTTTCCACAACAGAATACAAATTATTAGGAAGTCTGATTAATTAATTCTATCCTAAAAATTTAATGAAATTTAGAGGTCTAAAAGGAAAAACCACCAAAGGTGAACACTAAAACAAAATTAGGTGAAGGTCAGGACATGCAAACTATTTTGAATAAAAGATAGAAGCCAGAAGCACTTAGTAACCTGTTACCAATTAGGGTTTTAAATATGCAGTTACATATGTATGAATAATATTAATGAACTGCTTGTTTTCTTTAATCTAACTAGGATATTTTGTAAATTCTTTTCTTAAAACTTTAGAGATCTTTCCATATTAGCATATTCATCTGCCTCTTTGTTAAGTTTTTTTTTTTTTTTTTTTTTTTTAAGGTACGGGGTTTGAAATCAGGGCTTTTTGCTTACTAGGCAAGCATTCTACCACTTAAGTCATACCACCAGTCCCATAACCTGCCTCATTTTTAAAACTGTAAACTATTATAGTCATAATATTAGTATGTAAAAATATCAAATTATTTTGCCATTTCTTTACTGTTCAATATTTAAGACAGTTTCAGTTTTTTTTTATTTTTTTACATGTTGCAGAGACTATTGTACTTATTGTAGTACTTATATTCAGTAACTCTATAGACGACTATAAAAAGAGTGTTAGGTAAAATAATATTTACACATAGTATTTCATAATAATCCAGGTACTATTTCAAGTGCCTTATAAGAATGAACATATCTAATCCTCATGCTATGTATGTTTATTGTTTTATTTTATCGTGATGCTAGGGAATCAAGCCCAGTGTCTCGTTCATGCTAAGCAAGTGCTCCTACCACTCCACCTTTACCTCTAGTCCCAAGTGCATTTATGATTAAAATTCTGCTCATTTTATACATGGGGAAACTCAGGCATATATTTTTAGATAATTTACCCAAGGTCATTCATCTACTAAGTGGCAAAGCCAGGATAAAATGTTATCCAAAAAGTCTAATTCAGTTTTCATGTGTCTCCAAGAAAAATGTATATAAATGTCTGTTTATAACTTGCCCAGTAAGATTACTTGAAGTTATCAAACTTATATTTTGACTATCTGATCAAATAACCTATAAAGGATGTAGCCTGAAAAAAACAAAAAGACCACAAGGTGCCGAAAAAGGAGCCAAGCCTTCCAGCAGATCAGGGAAGTAGTTTTTGGTCTTTTTCTTCTTCTTCTTCTTTTTTTTTTTTTTTTGCAGTACTGGGATTTGAACTTAGGGCCTACAGCTTGAGTCATTCCACCAGCCCTACTTTTGTGAAGGGTTTTTGAGATAGGGTCTCGTAAACTATTTGCCTGGGCTGGCTCTGAACCGTGATCCTCCTGATCTTTGCCTCCTAAGTAGCTAGGATTACAGGTGTGAGTTACGGATGCCTGGCAGTTTTTGGTCTCTTGAAGATGTCTTTTGAATTTTTCAGAGCTGGAAAAATCTCAGTAGCAGAATCCTCCAGAGGGCACAGCTGGAACTGAGGGATTATTATGGCCACAGAAAAAGAAGTATGAGTTAATTTTCCTGAGTTGGATATAGAACACTACTAGAAAAGTGGGTTTTTTTCCCCCTTGTCATCCCTGATTAGGCCATTTTTACAAAACTGAAAGACAATTGAAGAGTACAATGAGAAAAAGTAAGAGATGGCAGAAACAAATTTAAGTTCACCTTTGTAAAACAGCATCATTTTGACAGTAACAGGTATTGTTCCATAGCATTCACATTTTTTACCTCCAAAAAATTCTCTAAGATATATACTATTATTTTCCTTATTGAACATATGATAAAACAGACAAAAAGAGATTAAGTAACTGACTCAAAATTGTTCAGCAATTAGTAGCAGATCTGCTATTTAAACCCAGGCCATCCAGTCCGTATTTACCACTGTATTCCCTTGCCCCTTCATATATTAAATCATTAAAATATTAATAGAAGAGTTCTTTTAGCTGAAAGAAGTAATAAATACTAAATAAACATTATTTCTTCAAGTTACTCACTAAGTTTAACGGAGCCTTCCATCCCCAAAAGTACATTGTCACTTTTGATGTCTCTGTGGATCACTTGATTAGCATGTAAAAATTCCAGTGCCTGTAAACACTGAACAGAAGAAAACACCTATTGGTGAAACAGTCTCCAAAAAGTCTAAGAGAGGATCACATACAGTAGTTATGGCCTGAGCACCACCTCTAGTATTCTGCAGAAAACCCTCTAATAACATTTATAAAGAAAAAAAACAGCAGGGCACCAGAGGCTCACACCTGTAATCCTAGCTACTTGGGAGGTAGATCAGGAGATTCATAGTTTGAGGCCAGCCAGAGTGAAAAAGCAGACCCTACCTCAAAGATAACCAACATAGGCCGGGTGCCGGTAGCTCATGCCTGTAATCCTAGCTACCCAGGAGGCAGAGATCAGGTGGATCACAGTTTGAAGCCAGCTTGGGCAAATACTTCACAATACTCTACCTTGAAAAAAATCCATCACAAAAAAGGGCAGGTGGAGTGGCTCAAGGTGAAGGTCCTGAGTTCTTTTGACAGTACTGTCAAAAGAAAAAAAAATCCTCTCATATGCAGAAGTTAAGAAAATAAAATGTCTTAATTAACAACAACTTCCTCTTCCACCTCTGGTCTCATCCAGAGACATTATTAAATAATGTAGTTCTTTCTTTACCACTGATCTCTCTCTCTCTGGAAATACAGGGTGGCACGAAGTTCACTTGCCATCAATTTTTATTATTGTTTTTGGCCAGCCCAACTACCACAAAACAACACAAAACCCCAACTCAACATAAAAAGCTGTACATCACTTGCAACAGTTTTTTTTTTTTCCTTTCAGCACTGGAGATTAAACCCAGGGACTCATGCTTGCTAGGCAAGCATTCTATCACTTAAGCCATGCCCTTAGACCTTGTTTGTACTTTTTCTTTTTGGTGGTAATGGGATTTGAATCAGAACCTCATGCTTTCTAGGCAGGCACTTTACCACTTGAGCCACTCCACCAGCCCTCTATTTTTAAGATAGGGTCTCTTGCTAACTTTGCCCAGGCTGGCCTGGAACTCCTTGTCCTCCTGCCCATTTCTCAAGTAGTTGGGATTTTAGAGGTGTGCACTACCTCGCCTGGCACAATGAAAATCTAATCCAAAATACTCCACTACTTGTTCAAGGAAAAAGGAAGATGTATTTGGTTATCACAATACATTTACCAAGGATTTAACTAGATTTTTGAAAAAAAATGAAATCCCAGAAAAGTACTTTTACAAATGAGTAGACATAAACTTGTCATTTTTAAAAAATATTGGCACATGGCAGAAAACTCAAGTGAATGGCTATTAGGAGCACTTCTAAAATTAATTATTTTATCAATTGTAGGAGATTTTATTAGAAAAACAAATTCCTGTTCAGTTCTGACCAGCTTTTAAGTGATCAAACATATTTGTTAAGGGATATAAAGTGAACTATTAAAAAGTTCTATTTTCTTCCTTCAACCGAAAGAGTAGAATACAATTAACTCAGAATTAAAATTTTTAAAGAATATTGTCTTTAACACCTTAATAAAAGCTGGAAAACATCATATATACAAAGCTTGTAATTCACTAGAATTGCTAAATCTAAATCATAGATGCACAAGTTTTATTTTTACAATTCTGTCCTCTACAACGATTCCTATAACAGAACACAATAGTATCAGTTTCGATGACAAAAAACAAATTATTAGCTTAAGTCTCATCTGTAGCAAAAAATACAGACAGAAGGAAGACTTGATATTGGTACAGACTTAAGCAATTTGGTAGAATTCTACTGATAAGCCAACAGTAGTCTGGAAATTCATTAATATAAAGAAACATCCAGTTACTTTACCTTTAGTGAGCTTGATAAAACCAGGAGCAAACTTTTTGATAATTAAGGTGAAAATGCATCTTACTTTGCCTGAGAGGGTTCTTGTTTCTACTAAGTGGTGTATTTTTAATGGGACTCTACTTTACTCTCAAAATTCTCTATTTGGATGGCAAACTGTCTATGACCACTCTACTGGAATTTGCCTGTAATTTCTACTCTTCAAAGGTCCATGCTTCATTCCCAAATTATCTTCCACATAAAAAAAAGAGGTGAAGCTCCCATGTGGGATGAAATGGCCCAGGATAACTAGCAGACACTGTGTACAGAGAAAGTATCCCAAACAAAAAATGTCTTGTGTGAACTCTTTCCTCTTTTTACCCCTTGCTAACCACCTATCTCACTGACTCATCCCAAAGGAAATAAACCTACCTCTCTGCAAACAGCAGCAATCTGTGCTTCATCCATGCAGGTTTCCGTTACAACATCAGTAAGTGACCCACCAGCAAGGTACTCCATTACCACAAACAATTCATCTCCCACAAGGTAACTAAAAATAGAACATACAACATAATCTTATGTTTTTATTTTTCTAAACACACTGCATCCTAGGTTGGAGAACTAAAACGTTAAGCACCATAATAATAAAACTTGAAAGCTGACATCGTGAGAACCAGGAAAAAATGGAAAGCTACTATGTAATGGCACAGAAAACAAAACAAAACCTGATGTTGCTGAATAATCTTAAAGTGAGAGTTTGCCGACAATTGTCATTTGAGTTATATATAGATTATTCCAATTAGAATGACTGTATAAATGTAGAAATTATTGGTCCTGTTTTACAGATGAGAAGACAGAGGTTAAGTTGGTTGTGGTGACACATGCCTTGTAATTCCATTTCTCAAATCTGAGATAAGAGGATCATGCATTCGGAGCCAACCTAGGTTACAAACTGAGACCCCATCAACTCAACAAAACAAACAAAGGCTTGGAGAGGTTAAGTAACTCATCCAAGTCACATAGCTAGAAAGTGACAGAATGAGAATCTGAAGCCAAGCAGCAATGATTCCAAACTCTAGGGTTTGTCTACGTGTTATGCTGATTTGAAATGCTATTTTAAAAAGCCAGAAAATGTACCTGAAACTTTGTTTCTTTGAACATAGTTCCCTAATGAGGACTAAAGTCTCAAAATATATTACTGTTTCCCCATTTTAAGCAAATTTAAATATGGAAGAAAATCACCTGTAATTCTCTATTATCTCCAATACAACCACTACTATTTCTCCAATAGTCCTCATTTATTCATATATGTAATTGTTTTTTAAAAAATTTATAATATGCATAATTTTCTCTTCTGCTTTTTGTTTATTTAACATCAAATCCTAAACTAAGTGAGCTTTTAATAAATATAAACAATTTGCCCACAACGAACAGCATTTAAAATAAAAACTGGCTGGTCACAGGTGGCTCATGATTATAATCCCAACTACTTGGGAGGCTGAAATCAATAGGATCAAGGTTCAAGGCTAGCTCAGGGAAACAGTTTGCAAGACCCCATCTCCAAAATAACCAAATGGACTGGAGGTGTGGCTCAACCAACAGAACACATGCTTTGCAAGCTCAAAGCCCTAAGTTCAATATCCAGCCTTACCAATCAATCAATCAATCAATCAATCAATAAATAAATAAATAACTGGCTGAGCATGGTAGCACATACCAGTAATCTAAGTTACTCAAGAGGCGGAAGCAGGAGGAAGGCAAATTTGTGCCTACTGTGCTACATAAAGTAAAAACCAATTTAAAAGTTTAAGAGCTGTATGGCTAGTCACCTCTGTGAGTGAAGACCTGAATCATAGTCAATCAGTCTTTATATTTCTGCTCCTGATCATTTGTATAAATATAACTATCATCAGCAGTGTCATTCATTTAACTGCCTTCTCTCACTTGCCAAGTGATATCCTTGTAGAAAAAGAACTGTATTTACAATAATGTGCTATTTTTACCTCTCCTCCTTTCAAGCATATTTTTCAGCCCTGGCATTTTATTTATTTTTTAACTTATTTTTCTACTTTTTTATTGCTGTGCTGGGGGTACACTGCGGCATTTACGGAAGTTCTTACAATACATCAAAACTGAATTCACCCCTCCATCACTCTGCTTTATCCAACACCCAGCACTAAGTGGCCACCCTCCACCACACTATGAGACTACAAGTACCTCAGTGTTTAAAACACTCCCATTTACCTGTCCAAGAAGTTTACAATATTGGGATTCTTTAACTCTTTCATCACCAGAATCTCATTAATGATCAATTCCTTCTTTGGTTGTTTTTGTAAATTAATCTGTTTGATAGCAACCTATAAGAACCAGAATTGCAAAAAAAAAAAAAAAAAAATCAGAAGTTTTCCTAATTCTCTTAGAAATTAAAAACGATCAGTTAATACTTTAATGTACATAGACTACATTACACAATGAAATTACAACTTATTCACAGTAATACTTTTACTTGCACACTGTCTATGCACTGTCTAAATATGTTTAGTTTTTATTTTGAAGTTGATTAACCAGCGTAAGGTCAGTCAAGCACCCTTTTCATTACAAGGTAGGACCCAGTTTTTAATTTTTTGCTTATTTATAACACAAAACTCATAATTTGTCATATGTTTCTCTGAACATGGGAATTGCTGCAAAATTATACAGATCGATTCTTACAATAAACTCAACTTAACAGAGATTGCTATTGACTTATTTAGTTTGTTCCTACATGAAATGTAATGGTAACATCCAGAAGTATGAAAAACAGCTACCTCCTGTCCCAGTGCCACATCAGTAGCAGTGAAAACTGTACCAGAAGCCCTATAGGGAGAAAAGACAGAATCAGATTTAAGATTTCTAAATCACTACCATTTATAATACCAGCTTTATAAGTGAAAAAAGATTAAAGAACACTTTATATTTAACACCTTTAAGGGAGGTAAAAGCAGGGTGGAGGTGTTGCTCAAGTGGTAGCCCATCTGCCTGGCAAGTACAAGGCCCTGAGTTCAAATCCCAGTATCACCAAGGTGGGGGGATGGAGGGAATGGGAGAGGGCAATCAATCAATCAATAAATAAATGGAAAAGCAATCAAAAAGGGAGGAAGACATAAGAAGAAGCAATCCTTGTAGCCAAAACTTATTTTGAAATGTTTCAGATCTACAAAATGTAGGGAAAAACAGTAAACAAAAGAAAAATATAGCACACACCCAAAACACATTCCTGCTTAATAAACAAAGAACTATAAATAAACTTGAAGGTTTCCTATAAGTTGAGTTCCCTAAACCTGAAGGTGCCCCTTCTGATGGGTGCAGGTCACCTGTGAAGGTGACCTGTACTTGTGTTTATCCTGTCTTTGATGTGCATCATTTCTCTTCTATTTCTGGTACTGGAGCTTGAACTCAGGGCCTACACCTTGAGCTACTCCACCAGTCCTTTTTTGTGAAGGGTTTTTTCAAGACAGGGTCTCAAGGAACTATATGCCCAGAATGGCTTCAAACCATGATCCTCCTAATCTTTGCCTCCGGAGTAGGTAGGATTACAGGTGTGGGTCACCGGTGCCAGGCTTGTTCTCTTTAACTACAAAAGACACAGGTATGTATCTCAATAGAATATATTTGACCCAATTTTAAAACTTCACATAGTTTCATTTTATGTATTTCTCTCTAATGTGGTTATTTTGGTGGTACTAAGGATTGAACTCAGGGCCTCGCACCTGCTAGATAACTATGCTAGCTACCACCCGAGCTATGCCTCCAGTCCCGCAATTTGCTATTTAAATTTAACATTGGATTTGTGATGGTCATCCACACGGATATAATTTTTATTCATTATTCTTTATTATTCAATGTGCAACGTACCATGCTCAAAAACATGAAAGTGGGTTTTAATTTTTTATTACAACCAGTACTGCAATTAAAATTAGGATTTGTGGTGGAACTGGGATTTGAATTCAGGCCTTTGTGCTTGCAAAACAGGTACTCTGCTGCTTAAGTCACATCTCCATTTTGCTCTGGTTATTTTGGAGATGGAGTCTGTCTCAGAAACTATTTGCCTGGGCTGCCCTTAAACCCCCATTCTCCTGAGCTCAGTCTCCCAAGTAGCTAGTATTACAAGTGTGTGTGACCTGAAATTATTATTTATTTTTTTTGGTGGCACTGGGGTTTGAACTCAGGGCCTTATGCTTGCTAGGAAGGCACTCTTACCGTTTAAGCCATTCCACTGAAATTAGTTTTGAAAAAAGGAAGTTTTCAAAAATGACATAAGCATTCTTCCTGAATTCACCGAACATTTTCCAAAGATTAATAACATTAAAAATTCAAGATGTTCATTTGCTCTCAAACAACAGAAAAGAGGTTAGTGTATAGTTTTAAAACACAAATTACTGGCTAAAATGAGAAGACCAGTAGAATCAAAGATTTATATTTAATGACAGGATTTCAATACATACCTTTATTGCCTATAATCCTGCAATAAATATTCTTATTGTCTTTAATGTACCTGTTATAAGCAATTTTTCCATCACTCTAATTCCTTAGCATCCTATGGCAACTGATACTTTAGAAACAATGAGCTAGGCATGGTGGTGCAGCCCAGCATGAGGGAGGCTGAGGTAGGAAGATTGTGAGTTTGAGGACAGCCTGGGCTACAGAACAAGTTCAAAGCAAGTATGGGTCCACATAGCAAGAATCTGCCTCAAAAGTAAATACATAAATAAAGAAAATAAAAATTACTAAAAAATACTTTTAAAAAAGAACAAACAATGAAACAATGATAAGTTACTTGTAACTAGTACAGTTTTTTAAAGCATCTATAAATAACTGTGGTATGCATCTACACAATCCCAAAAGTGTCACTCAGAATACAGTCATGTGCTTAATGTCAGGAGAAGACACACCATGCTGTACACAAGGGAGCACTGAATATTATGGCTGTACAGTCACATACTTACCCTTGTCCTATTTTTTCGTATCTTGTATATTTTTTCTTAGGGTCACCTATGCTTACAATAGTTCCTATTTTAAACAAAAACAAAAATTGGAAGCTCAGTCAAGCATTTTAAATGCAAATTAACTTTGAAAATTATTACTCTTAATAAACTCTGATACTGGTTTTCAAATGTACAAGTTCCCAAATAATTTTAAGCACTAAACACTGAACAATGTAAGTAATAAATGTAAAAATGTATCAGAAACCATAGGACACATTATTTCCACTCTGTTAGACTAATTAACCACTTTCCCACTCCACAAATGTACTGTACTAGTAGTAAATTATAAAACTACTTATCAGAAATAATAAATGAAGCCTGGCCACAGTGGCTCACACCTGTAACCTCACCTACTGAGGAGGCAGAGATTGGGAGGGTCACAATTCAAGGCTAGCCCAGACAAAAAAATTTAGCAAGATTCCATTTCAACCAATGGCCTGGGCATGGAGGTACACACTTGTAATACCAGCTACTCAAGAGGTATACATAGGAGGACTGGCATAAGTAGGAAGCCTGGGGAAGTGAGACCTTATCTGAAAAGTTACTTTTTGCTCTGGTTATTTTGGAGCATATAAGTGATTTAAACAACCCATCCTTCTAGGTCAGTGTTCTTTGTAACTATAGTTGCTAAAGATGTGTCAGCAGACATTTTTGCTACCCTTTCCCTGGCATTGTTTACATTGTTTCTAATGCTTGATCCAGGTCAATGACCGCTGATGAATTAAAAGGGAGAAGAGTCAGGTGCTAGTGGCTCACGCCTGTAATCCTAGTGACTCAGGGGACTGGCTTCACTAGTTACTACAAGTACACAATGAATAGCCAAGAAGAGTATTATTTTGTCTTTATTAGATTTTAATTAAAGTTAATATTCCCATAAGAAAACAATTTTTTCTTTATGCCTTCAGTCAAAATACAATGCATAAATTAAATTCCACCTGGGCCAAATTTTTCTTTTTTTGTGGTGAAAGGAATCGAAACCAGGGTCTTGCACATGTTAGGTAAACCCCCTGCCACTGAGCTACAACTTCAACCCTGGGCCCAATGTTTTAAGAGCTGTAAATTTAAGAATGTAAAATATAGGTAACATACTTAGTTTCTCCATAATCTCTTCATCTGTCATCTTGGTCTTCTTTTTTTGTTTGTCTGAAGACTTGGCACCACCATCAACATTAGAATCACCAGCTGGTGCAGGAATAGGGTCAATTACAGACCGAGTGTATATCTGCAGAGATACAGCTCATTATTGAGATTTGAGAAAAAAATACTGACACTTAAGTTTTTTTATTTTTGGTGTTGCTAGGGTTTGAAAGTACATTTTCATGCTGGCAATGCAGGCGTTCTTGAGCCACACCCTCAGCAAGTTCTTAAGATTTTTTTTTAAAACTAAAACTAAGTTGTATCCCATTGTTTTAAAGAATGATAATGACAAAACATGTAACTGCCAGGTGTGGTAACACATATCTGTAAAGCTAGCAATCATGAAGCTAAGTCAGGAAGGTTGGTAATTTGAGGCCAGCCTAGGCTACACAGCAAGACCCTGTCCAAAAATAAAGGGAGGGCACCAGGGGTTCACACCTGTAATCCTAGCTACTCAGGAGGCAGAGTTCAGGAGGATGGAGGTCCAAGGTTAACCTGGGCAATGAGACCCTGTCTCAAAAATACCCAACACAAAAAAAGGCTGGAAGGGTGGCTCAAGTAGTAGAGTACCTGCCTACCTAAAATGGGGCCCACTCTGAGTTCAAACCCCAGTGCAAGAAAAAGGGAGGGGGAGCATAGTGGTACATGCCTGCAATCCCAGCTACTCAGGAGGTAGGAGGATCTCAGATTGAGTCTGGCCTGTACCCAGAGACCTTATCTTAAAAAAAAAAAATAAGAAAGCTGGCAAGTGTGAAGCCCTCAGTTCAAACCCCAGTACCACCAAAAACTAAATAACAAAAAATCCCAAGCCATGCATGATATGTATGTCTGTAATCTCAGCTAGGTGGGAGATGGAGGTAAGAGACTCATGGTCTGAAGCTGGTCCCAGGAAAAAGTACGAGACTGTATGTGAAAAAATAAACCAAAGCAAAAAGCACTGAGACATGGTTCAAAAGGTCCTGAGTTGAAACCCCAATACTACAAAAAGAAAAAGAAAAAACTGTCCCAAACAAACCTCCACCCAAAATCCAACCCTCCTCAAAAACAAACAAACAAAAAAAACCAAAAAGCAAAAAAAACTGTAAGCCATATAACTAAGGAGAATAAATGTGAAACATTTTTCTTCCACATAGAATGTATTTTAAAAGTGTGTCTTTTTAAGACAGCAGGTCTGTGAATAAAACCTCACATGTAAACTCATAAACAATGTAGCAAAAAGAAGTACAGTTTAAATATAATGTTTTTACTAAAATGGAGACATAAACTGGCCTGCCTTGCCTAGTAAGCATGAGGCTGAACTCAAACCCCTATGCTGCCCCCCACCCCCAAAAAAGAGAAAGAAATATTCATGCTAAAAAAATTTATTACTAATTCCCACAAAGTTTTACACACATGCAAAGCTTCACCTTTCATTTAAAAAGTCAGTTGTGAAGAATAAAGAAAACACCCCTACTCTGCACTAGATCAGGGCCCAGTGGCAGCCTCAGCACTGTCTGCTGATTGCACCTCCACATCACAGTCCACTGCAAGCACATTTCCCACGCTCTACTTGTATTAGTACAGAGAGAAGGATAGGACTTGTGTAGTTCCTCTCTTCCTGGCTCCATCAGAGGTCATAATTGTTAAAATTCTCCCTCACTTGGCAAGTAATTTAATTTTTTTTTTTTTTTTGGTGGAATTGGGGTTTGAACGCAGGGCTTCATACTTACAATGCAGATGTTCTACTGCTTGAACCATACCTCGAGTCCATTCTGCTCTGGTTATTTTGGAGAGGGGGGCCTCAAGAAATATTTGCCTGGGCTGGCTTCAAACTGAGAATCCAGATCTCTGCCTCCCAAGTAGCTAGGCTATAAGGTGTGAGCCACTGGCACCTGGCAGGAATTTAATTTTTAACTGCATCTTAACTGACATCAAGGCTTTGAGAGAAATGTAAAATGGGAGATAAACTTGAGGGCTTTTGGAAATTACTACGAAGTCAATTGCAGACAGCTATTTTTCAGAACACATATGCACAGACACACCGTGCCGTCATTAGCCAGTCACTCACTGATTTTGTATGATCTGGTCGGGGGGCAATGACAGGAGGAGCAGCCTCTTCATCATCATCATCTTCCTCTGTCACTATTGCTGATGTTTCTGATCCCTTGGTATTCAGCTGCATTTGTCACAAAAGCAAATAAATTTTAAAGGCTAAAATGTGACTCTTTTTATAAACATACTTTAAAGTTTATTTCTTCACTAGATTTTAAAACAACTAAACCTCATTGGCTCTAACACAATCAATGAAAAGTGAAGGTAAAAAATTAGAGATAAGGGCAAAATAGTTTCTGCCGGGTATCCAGGGGGTAGGGGAGAGAAGGAGGGGGCGGGGTGGGTGGTAAGAGAGGGGGTGAGGGCAGGGGGGAGAAATGACCCAAGCATTGTATGCACATATGAATAATAAAAAATAAAGTAAAGGGAATTTTACGAATTACGGAAAAATAAGCTTATGAAATATGTACATGGTGAATATGAATGGGGGGTGGTGGTACTGTGATGTGCCAAGCTACCTCCCTAGCCTTCAAATATTTTTGAAAGTATCATTTATGCCCTTTAAGTAAACATACACATACAGTTCCCTACAAGTTTTAAGCAATCAATTTATTAGCTAAGACCAAAAACAAAGATTCTCTGGACTTTATATACATTAAACTCATTTTGGGGCACTTAAAAAGAGTCAGATTAACCTAAAAGAGTGGTAGCTAATGAAGCAAGAGTAGAAGGAATTGACAAGTTTCACCTGTTCAGTATGTATCCATAAACTGTTCAACAGAATGGCACCAGAAGGAGGACTGCTAGCAAGTTGTTTATAATCACGTTTATATATGGAAACATTACCAAGAGTAGCTAAACTTTTCTGGATGTCAATATAAATGTTATTACTTTAAACATTGTATCAAGGAAATTCTATTTACTTAAGAGGGTTTCTTCAACTTATCAAATGACTTAAATGAAAAAAATATTGAATATTTACCATTATAGCTGAATTTATTCTAGAAGCCAAAATAAAAGGTAAGATTTGTACTGGGTAACCTAAATTAGAGCAAGAACTGTAAGAAATAAATTATTAACTTACTGCTGGTGTTCCAGAAGGGAAGCCATCTTTCTCTGAAACAGAAAAGAATGTTACCAATTCAAGAGAATGAAGAAAAAAAAAAAAAAAAGACCAAATGAAATGTTCTTAAACTGCTTTCATTTTAAGTTGAGTTGCCTCTTGAGGAAAATGACAGCACCAGTATTCAAACAAGAATTGACAGGTGGCTGAACTAAAAACTCAAATCTTCAAAGACTCAAAGCTGAAAACATATTCAAACAACTGTCAAAAGTGTACTTGATTATGAGGCTAACTTAAAGTAACTGTAAAAATCCATTCTATTCTCATTCTTAGTGACTTATGCTTATTTTAGGTATTTTCATATTTGATGACTTTTAATTTTTGATCAATTTTAGTGCTTTTCTACAGTAAAGCACTAGCAATAAACGTTATCTCTAGAATGAACATGTCTTTAAATCTACAACTTTTCCTTCTACTGTTGGAAGTCACTTAAAAGTAGCAAGGAGGAAAAAACCTAACTAAACAAAAGCCAAAATATCCACCAACTCCATTTCTGGCAAAACTATGATATTAATATAATCTCCAGATTCCAAATTATGCTTAACAGCTACCCAGATCACTTTTAAAAAGGCAGAATTTATGCAGGGGAAAAGAGGGACAAGAACTACAGTACGGCATGTTATTTTCCCAGAAATAATCTTTTTATCTAGCAGTGCTTCACAGGTGATCCACCATTTTACCACTGTCTCATGTCTTTCTTACCAGGAGGAGTAAAACTCAGATACTTCTGCTTTACTGTGTTAGAGTCATAGAACTTTAAGACATCCAGCACAGCCTGAGGATTCTTCTTTTGCTCTAGCTTGGTGATATTGGAGGTCTGTAACAATCGAGCCCACTGTTCTGGCATGCCCTAACAAAAAGAAATTTAGAAATTAATTGTGGTTTGAATTGCCCTAATAAAGTCAATTTTTAGAGATAAAGGACAAAATAGATAAACCAATAAATGTAATTTTTGGTTTGATCAAATTCGTTTCTTTTGGGTTGGGGAGACAGGCTCTCACTGTGTACCCAGGCTGGCCTTGGACTCTCATCACCCTGCCTCAGCCTCCGGAGTTCTGGGATTCTATAATCCCAGCAATTTGACTAAATTCTAACAGGTATAGTTTTCTAAAGATCTGGTTTTCTACAGCTATTTTGCATAATTATAATTAATAGGATCAGTTCTCTAGAAAAAGATATATCCAACAATAACACTTTTATGGTAATACAAGGCAAGTAAGCCAGGTACCAGTGGCTTATGACTATAATCCTAATTACTGGGGAAGCCAAAATTGGGAGGAACAAGGTTCAAGACTAGCCCAGGCAACTAGTTCGAAGGAGAGAGCACCTGCTTTGCAAATGCGAAGCCTTGACCCCAGTCCTGCCAAAGAAAAGTAAAAGCAGTAAGAACTGACAATTAACATGTGGGGAGAAAAGTTAACTTCAAACAAACTAGGTAAACTTACAGTAAATTCTCCAGTAACAGCATCAAAGCCAACATGGATGGTGTGCTCAAAATCAGATGGAGGAGAAATCTCTGGCCGTTCCTTTTCTTTCTTTCTACTTCCTAGAGTGCATTAAGGGGTTAAAAAAAGAGATCAAGAGAGACAGAGCTTATTTAAATAAGGATAATAATGGTACTTATCATCATATATTTTTATTTTTCCTAAAATAGATCAGGAATGAAGTTATTCTATGAAAGAAATTTTTTTCTAGGCAGACACTCTACCACTTGAGCCACTCCTCCAGCGAAAGAAATTTTTTCTAAGAACACAGTAAGGAAGTTGGTAGATGAAGTAGAATGTTTTATCTATTATAAACTAGGGATGGTACCTGTAAAGGCCCACAGTTCAGAGTCCACTTCTGCTTTCTGTGCAGGTCTAATCCTTCCTTCTTAATGCAATTGATAACTGCATTTAAAAACCGTCCAGGTTCTCTGTTACATCAGCAAATTTTTTGGGGGGGCCACATTATTGTCAAAAACCTATCAATAATAGTCTATAAATGCTAACATATAAGTTTCTTCTCTCTTCCAGAGTCTGCCTGTTCTAATCTGCAGTTCACACTACATGGGTCTATTTCTGGATGCTCAGTTCGGTTTTAATGATCTGTTTGCCTACCTGTCTGCCAATACCAGTCTGCCCTGATTACCATCATCTTATAAGAAGCATTGAAAGTACACAGTGTTAAGTTTTCTTTTCAAAGCTATTTGAGATCCTCTGCATTTCCACATGAACTTAACAATGATCTTGTAATTCTACAAAAAGCCTACAGGGATTGTGATTGCAATTCTATTTAACATACAGATCAATTTAGGAACAAATGATCAAGTCTTCTGATCCATGATAATAGTGAGTTTATTATTTAGGGGCTTTTTAATTTTTTTGTGAAATGACACTAGGGTTTGAACTCAGGGTTTCACACTTGCTAGGCAGGTAGCTCTATCACTTGATGCACAGCCACAACCCTTTTTGCTTTAGTAATTTTTTAGAAGGGTCTCATGCTTTTGCTCAGGGCTGGCCCTGAGCAGTGATCCTCCTACCTCTGCCCCTCAAAGAGCATGCTTGGGATTACAGGCATGCACCATTCCAGGCTTGTTCTTTAAGATAGGTTCTCACTGACTTTTTGCCCAAGCTGGCTTCAAACTACTATCCTCCTATCTCTGCTTCCAGGTAGCTGGGATTACAGGCATGAACCACAACACCCAGCTACACAGGTCTTTTAAAATTTCTCTTAGCAATGCTTTGTTCATATCAGTACTGATTTGTCAATGACATGTACACTGGTCTTGCCAGTTGTCCTACAGCTCTTCAGATTTGATTCTTTACTAAGTTAAGGACATTTCTTTCTATTTCAAGTGTGTGAACACTTCTGTCAGAAGTGGATATTGGATTGTCAAACATTTTTCTATATTTACTGAGATGAACATATGGCTTTTCCTTTTAATTTTGTTACTATAACTAATTACACTGGCTGACTTTCATATGTATAACCAACCTGAAATGGAATCTACTTGATCCTGACATATTACCCCTTTACCTTTTTTACATTGTTGGATTTCATTTCTTTTTTTTTTTTTTTTCCCCAGTAGTACTGGGTTTGAACTCAGGGCCTCCAACTTGCGAGGCTGGCACTCTAACACTTGAGCCACTTCCCCAACTCCACTGCTGGATTTCAAATGCCAAAGTTCTGCTAAAATTTTGCATCTATGTTTAGAGCTTTCTTTTCTTATAATATATTTGGTTTGTTAGTTTCATAAACTAAGTTGGGAAGCATTACCTCCTATTCAATTTTCTGGAGTTTTGTATAACTGGTAGTATTTCTTCCTTAAACATTTGATGGAATTTACCAATGAAGCCAGGCAGGTCTAACATTTTCTTTGTGGGAAGGTTTTAGCTCAAACTAAAAATACATGATTTTAGGTTATCTATTTCTTCTTGAGTAAGCTTTAGAAATCTGTATCTTTTAAGAAAATTTTCCATTTTACTTAATTTGTTGAAATTACTGTTTCATATTTGTTCACAATATTACCTTCTCTCTCCTTGAAGTTTGGCAATTGAACTGAAATTGGAGCATGTTAAACATAGGCTCTATCACTGAGCTAAGCATCCAGCCCTGGTATACCTTTCATTTTAATCTAATTTGTGACTTTATGTAGAACAGATATACCTTTATACAGAAATTTTACATAAAAAGTGGATTTTCTAAAACAATTTTTTTAAAAGACAAAAAAATTTAAAAGTGGATTCCCTATAGACAACAGGCAGTTAGGGCTCCCTTTACTGTTATGCTCACCCGTTTAAATTATACTAATCCAATGAGTATACAGAGTTTTGCAATCATTACCACAATCTAAAGAGAGTATTTTCATCATCCCCAGAGGAAACCTTACACTTATTAGCAATCACTCCCCATTCCACCCCTAGGCCCACCCCAAACTTAGTCAACTAGTAATTAATCCATTTTCTGGATCCAAGATTTGTCTGTTTGGTTATTTACATAAGTGGGATCATAAAATATGTGATCTTTTGTGAAAAGCTTTTCTTAATTTTTTGGAGATTCATCCATGTTTTCTACTTCATCCGGATATATTACACTTTTACCCTCTTTATATTGTTGGACTTCATTTTTCTCTTTCTCTGATACTAGGGTTTGAACTCAGAGCCTCACACTTGCTAGGCAGGTACTCTACCACTTGAGCCACAGTGCCAGCCTGGCACTTTTTTGTATTGCAGGCTGGCTTTGAGCTATTTTCCGGGGCTAGCTTAAAACCTTGATCCTCCTGATCTCTGCCTCCTAAGTAGCTAGGATTACAGGCAAGAGCCACCTGCACCCAGCTTTTCTCTTCCTTTCTCCCTTCCCACCCTTCCTCGCCTCCCTCTTTTCGTTTCTTTTCTTTCCTTCCTTTTCCTTTCTTTCCTTTTTTTTCCATTAAAAAAAAAAAAAACAACCCAGGCTGGCCTCAAACTTAAGATCTTCCTGCTGTGGACTCTCAAATGCTGGAATGACAGGTGCATGCCACCATTCCCAGCTTGTTGGTTTAGATGGGAGTCTCTAACTTTTTGCCCACTCTGGCCTCAGACCTCAATCTCCCAATCCCTGCCTTTAGAGCAGCCAGTATTACAGGTGTCTGTTTTTTTTTTTTTTTTAAAGTGTTTTTCAAATGTTTCTCCTCTTCTTCTTCTTTTTTTTTTTTCCATTTAAGACAGGGTAGCCCAGACTGGCCTTGAACTTTTGATTCTCCTGACAACAGTCTCCTAAGTGCTGGGTTACTGGGATTATAAGCTTCAATAACATGTACACTGGTCTTGCCAGTTGTCCCATACCTCTTCAGATTTGGTTCAGCCTTGTCTTCTAATTCACTAATCTTCAACTCAAGAGAGACTTCAGATTCCCCTCCCTTTGCCGCAGCCTAGAAGCTCTCTAGGCAGAAAGCTGGATTAATGGTAGAATTCACTCCATTTTTTTTTTATTCACTTTTAGGAATCACTTTTCTTCATCACCTAATGTTCAGTGTCTTGAAAACCACCGTTTTGTGTATCTTCCCCATTCTTTTGTTCTTTAAGATAGGTGGATAAACCCAGTTCCTGTTGCTCCATCTTGCCTGGAGGTGCAACAGATTTTATTGTATTATCTGTGGTGTTACAAGTGTCAGGATGCTATGATCTTCATTCATTCATTGTGCTGAGTTCTCAGTGAGCTCCTTCTACCTGAAATCTTATTCTTCAGATCTGGGATATTTGTTGTATTATTTATTTCCTTCATATTTAATTTTTTCACTATCAGCATATATCTTTTATAACTGTTATCTGTCTCATATTTTCCATTTACATATATTTTCTCAACTCTGGGAGAATTTCTTGATTATCTTCCAATCCTTTACTTACTGATTTCCCAAGACCATTGTTCTCTCATCATTCTTTCTCTGAGAATCCTTTTCTGGTTTCATGGGTTCGGTTCATCTTTTCTCTTTGAAGATTATACAGTGTGTGTGTGTAGGCAGGGTTTTCAGGTTTGTTAATTTTCTCCCTACATTCTCTGTTTCTTCCAAATTCCTTTTTAAATGCCCCTGCTGTTTTTGACTCTTATGTCTAGGGTTTTCCTCAAATGTTTGGTGATCCTTTGCTGTTTATTCATACAGAAAAGTATTAAACAGCTAACTGGGAGTTAAGACAGCCTTTTCACTAAAGATGAGTATGAGGTGCAAAGTACAGAAAGTATTTTTCACCCCAAAGCATTTTTATTTAACCAGAGAAAAAGCTTCCAGTCTCTTATCTGAGGGCTATGAGTCAGGCTACAAGTATTCTAAAAGGAGGGCAAGGAGAGGAGTTTTGTATGTTGGCTTTCATTGAATCCACATTTTTTCTTCTGATGCTACAACTTTTCTTGATTTCCCTAATGGGGGGTATAATTGTATAGTAGTATGGGGTAAAAGAGAAGTGAGTCCTGGGAAGTCTCCTGACACTTTCTATGAAGATTTTTACCTAACTCAACCTTCCCCTCCCCACGTAAGAGTACTGTGTGCCTCTCAATCCTGAGGCCTCTGGGTTTTTAAAAAGAAACTGGTTTACTTCCCACAGACATTCCCCCTCTGCAAATGCTTAGCAATGTCTTTCTCTATGCCATTTCTTCACCACTTCAATCTTCCAAATATATACTAAAAATTCTTGTACACTACTATCTCCTTGCTTATTCTTTTTGCCCTTGTAGTAATTTTTTAAATTTGTTTTTTAACCATGATTTTAGCTGGGTCTTGGGAGGGAAAGTAAATAAAAGCATTTGGTCAATATGCTACTTTTAACCAGAAGATTCTCCTAACATAAAAGTTAAAAAATTGTGCTATTTGATAGGTCTGCACATTGAAAGCTGGAAATGTTACCGATGCTGTTCTTTGTTTACAAAAGAAACTAATGATCCAGTATTAGTAGGAACCATGGTATTTTTTGGACTAGTGATGACAGACCAGTACTCCAATATCTGTATTTTCTCTAGGTCTTCTAGACACACATATTTATTTACAAGAGATCTGGCCACAGAAAAGAAGACAGGGCACACAGACTGTGGAAAGGAGCAGAGGGAAACACAACTCTTAAGTTTGCACAAAACTTTGCTGTCATTACTGAAAAACATAATTATATCTATCATAACCAACCTCTCATTTTCCACCAGACCGATTTTGAGTAATCTGAAATCATGTCCTCTTAGCTTTGTCTTTCTCTTTTTGTGGCAGTACTGGGGTTTGAACTCAGGGCCTCATGCTTGCAAGGCAGGCATGCTACCACATGAACTGCTCTGCCAGCCTCTCAAGTTTTATGTCTCTTAACTTCCAACTCAGTATAATGCATGTAAGAGGGAATATTTGTTAGCCAACTAAAAAAACAGTTTAATTTGTATACTGTTCTTGTACTGCTGACAGAAACACAATTCTTATACTATTATTTGTTTTTTCTTTTCAAAAAAAAAATGGCTTGAAATCTGGAAACTTCCTTCACCCCCCTTCTATGCATATAGTTGATCATATAAAATCTTAATAAAGGCAAAATTAGAAGGGATATAAATAATAATTTATAAAATGAATACGCTTTCAACTCTTAATGATTTGTATCGTCTGTACATCTAAATTCTCTAGGAATCAGATTGTCCATAATTAGTATAATTTAAATTTTCCAAGTTATTTTTATTTATGATAACTCAAAATATTTTACTGATTAAAGGTGCATTAAATTAAAGGTGCATTAGGTATTAGTATACACAAAACACTGCTCTTCCATGTGGGTTTACTTTTCCATGTAGACTCATACTTATCTTTCTCTGCTTACCATTTATCAGGAACACATTACCATGCCTAAGGTGAATAATTAAACGAATTCCTTACTCTTATTCTAAAATCAGTGTCTATCAATCCCTTACCCAATTCGAAAATCCCAAAGTTCCTTCCTTAAGTTTGACAGCAAAACCAATTTAGTGACTTTAATTTATACGAGACTATTTATACCCTTTATCCTATTTTGTGTGACAAGACCAGTGTTTCTTAACTGAGGATGATTCTGCCCACCTAGGGGTTATGTGGAAATGTTAGAGATCCTTAGTTTGTTACAACTGAGGGAGGTGCTACTGACATCTAGTGAGTAAAAGCTAGGAATACTGCTAAACATACTATAATGCATAGGGACAGACTGCTGCAACCACAAATTATTTAATCCCAGAATGTCACTAGTGTCAAGGTTGAAAAACCCTGGACTAGAAAAATGTTTTGTGAAGATAGCCTGATTACTGAGGCTGCCTCAGTTCCTCGAGGGCATTATAGAATATATGATAAAAAGATGATAGTACTATTTAAAAATGAGAAAAACTCTTTAATTCCAAAACACAGCTGGCTCAAGGATTTCAGATGGGGGAAGGGAGGAGGATGATGGCCCCTATATTACCGATCTTATAATAGCAAGACTCCTCAAATATCATTGTTATAGTTTAGATATTGTTTGTTTCCCAACAATTCATGTACTGGAGGCTTGGTACTTATTAAGCAGAACTGAAATGTGGTTGGGCCTTAAAGAGGTTGGGCCTGCTGGGAGGTAGCTGGGTTATGACCACTCTCAGAATGAACTGACATTTCTCTCAAGGAGTGCATTAGTTTCTGAGAGAGTTGGTTGTCATGAGAGAGTGAATCTAGCCCCTCCTTGCTCTCCTGCTTCCTTGCTTGCACATAAGACCCTTCTGCAAGCAGTTGGTTCCTTTTCTGCTTCTCTGCCATGTTGAGATACTGCCAGAGGAACTATACCAGACACTGGGGCGATGCTGTTTCAATCTTCCAGCCACTAGAATTGTGAGTCAAATGAACCTTTTTTCTTTATAAAGTACCCAGCCTTACATATTTTGTTGAAGGAATACAGAATGCACTAAGACAAACACAAACCCCCCATTAGTGCTAGAAAGCCACAAACTATGTTCCAAGGTCTCAGAAAAATGGCGATGAAGGCAGAAGTTCACTGGTTGTAAAAGAAGAATGGACAACAACTATATAGTTCATTATTTTCTATCACACACACACACACAAAAGAATTAGTCTTATTGGGCATGGTGGTACACACGGATAATTCTAGCACTTAGGAGGCTGAGGCAGGAGGATCCTGAGAGCTCAAGGCTACCTTGAGCTATAAAAGATCCCGTCCAAATAAAAAAGTGAATAAATAAAATAAGGTTTTATTTGTTGTTGTTTCATTTAAGAGCTGAGGTTGCTATGTCTCCCAGGTCAGCTCTGAATCCCTAGACTCAAGTAATCCTCCTGCCTCAACCTCTCAAATAGCTGGAACTACAGGCATGTGAAAGCATGCCCAGCAAAACTAGTCTTTTTAATGGTACTTGTTTTCTTGGATCTGTTTATTGTCTCACCACCCAAGATATCAACATGGGTAATATACAATAAACAACACTGAGACTCTTTAAATCACAACAGCTATTTACCTTTCTCTGTGCCTGAGAATATGGAGATGATTTTATTCCTGGGCTTTTTTTCCTCTGGAACAGAGGGCAAAGGTTTCAAACTGTGATTGGCTGATAAAGGATCTTTGCCCCCGGTGCTAAAAATGGTACTGCTCATCCGCACGGGAGGTGCTGGAGGCTTGTCTTCTAGTTCTCCGTTATCAGACATTATTCAGAATTATGAAACAGCCTGAAATAGGCAAAAAATCAAAATACACAATTAATAGCAAGGTAAAAATCAGCACAGACAAGCACAATACAGTAATAACTACTCTGCCACATAATTCCTTAAATGTTACCCCTAAGAGTGACATTAGCAAAATTTGGAAAAATCAAAGAACAAGAGAGATGATAAGCATCTTTCTCAATAAAGGCAATCTCCCTTAGCATAGTCAATAAATGGTTAGTTGTGAGAATGTTTGAAAAGCAAAGGGGAAAGTATAATTGCACATTGTATCAAAAGCAATTCTCCTAATCAGTTGATTCTGAGACTGTTCCAAAGTAAAGTCAGAGAACACAGTCTTAAGAACAAAGGGTGGCTGAGGGTATGGCTCAAGTGCTAGGCACCTGCCTAATAAGTGCCAGACTTTGAGTTCCAACTTGGAGTTGGAACTCCAAGAAAAAGCAAAGATGGGCATGGGTTGCTAATGTCTATAATCCTTAGCTACTTGAAAGGCTGAAATCTGGGGGATTTCAGTTCAAGGTCAGCCTGGGCAAATAGTTTGTTGAAAACCCCATCTCTAAAATAACCAGAATGAAAATGGACTGAAGGTATTACTCAAGCAGTAAAGATCTTGCTTTGCAAGCTCAATGCTCAGAGTTCAAACCAACGTCTCACCACCCTCCAAAAAAGGGAGAAAATTCCAAAGAGGAAGAATACAAAAGAATACATCCTGACCGATTATAGGATATATCTGATAGGCTCATCTCTGGTAGGAACAGAGGCTCTTTAACTGATCAACCAACACTCCTTTAATCTGATTCCATGCATATCAATGTCTACCAGCCTTGTGATTATTGTGATTATTACAACTAGCCATCATATAGTATGTGCCACTGATGCAGTATTTGGTTTCTCTAAAAATTTAACGTTCTGATCTATACACATTAGTCTCTTGAGTTTTGGAGAAAGTCACATGGAGCTTGATCAGTTTGGGTACAGTAATAAAATTAAATCCACAGCATGGCTGAGAACCAGTGTGGCTGTAACTGCAGGGTTTTGCCACCCTGTAATTTGTTCTGCCCACGTAGTCAGATAACCTCTCTTGCCCACATAGCTAATTCAGTGGAAGTTTTAACCTTGTTTACATACTCTTATAGGTATAATGTTTTTAAAAAGTGGATTACACACATTTAAAAGCAGCTGTAAAGAATTCCTAACTTACATGAGTTCTGATGTGTATGTTAAGCCAGTGGCCCACACCCGTAATTCTAGCTACTCATGAGGCAGAAATCAAGGAGGATCGAGGTTTGAAGCCAGCCCAGGCAAACAGTTCATGAGACCCTATCTCGAAAAAACCCATCACAAAAAAGGCCTGGTGAAGTGGCTCAAGATGTAGGCCCTGAGTTCAAATCCCAGTACTGAAAACAAAATGAAAACCAGCAATAAATTTCTTCATCAAACAAGGCTTTGACTGGTAACTAGATCTGGATTTTAAGTTTATTTAAGTGAGCAAATCTTTGTTTATGTACAATGAAAAAAATTTCAAATGCATTTAGAGAAAATTAAAAATAATTTTATTTCTTCAATTTAATTAAATGCTTGTTCTTTAAGTAAAGCAGATATAATTTGAGACTAAATGAGAGATGAAGTGATTATTCCACCTCAAATATTGCAGTTACTATCCTTAACAGAGTGTGTCAAGTATGTCACTAACACCATGAGTGCTGGTGCACTACCTTGGCATACTTTATTTGCCAAAATGACAATTATTCTTCAGCCTACAAAAAGGATAATGAGAAAAACAAAGGAGAAAGAATACACATTAACTAGCTAGAGAGAAGGCCTGGGAAAAGTGAATTAAAAAAGACTTTACTCTGCACATGTATAAGACTGCTTAACTAAGGAAGAAAGTGGGTGGGACCTAGGACAGCACAGAGAATATGACCCAGCTAATTTTTCCAAACCAACGGCTCACATCATGGAAAGCTGGTTTTGTTTTGGAATCATGTAAGCAAGATACAACTGGCTATTCCTAAGCATTGGGCTTTTACCAGTGTGTGCATTACCTGAAGGGACACCCTCTTGCTACAGATAGAAGAAAGGTAAGACTGAGCAACAACACTGTAAGGATTATTTAATAAATGGATAAATCAAGACAGATGTTTAGGTCTTAATGTGATCATGACACCATAAACCTATAGGGGCTCACTTTCATCTTAATCATTAGCACAATGTTCAGATTTTAGTTACAATATGAAGGCTCCATATTTGTGCATAAAATTAAAGAATCACCATGGCATGGTGGTACATGACTACAATCCTAGTACTCGGGAGGCTTAGGATCACAAGTTTGAGGCTAGTTTGGGCTACACAGCAAGCCCTATCACAAAACAAAACAGAATCAGGTAATAAAACAAAATTCCAAAGTATGTTTCATATATTTGTATAAGGAAATGTACCAAAATATTAACAGTGGTTACCTGTGACTAACTAGTTTTTAATTTAATCACTATTACCAGAGCTGTGACTTAAAAAAAAAATAAAATAGTTAGGGCTGGGGGTACAACTTAAGAGGTAAACATGTGCTTAGTATGCCTAAGACCCTGGGTTTGGTCCCCAACACTGTTTTAAAAAAAAAAAACAAAACAAAGTGTCACAGCTCTTTTTAGAATTTGTCCAGCAGGTTTTCTGGAGTATGCTGGAACCACCCCCCCTATTTTAAAAAAAAAAAAGGGAAACAATACAAAAATCAATAACCATAATTACGTAGTTTCTGAAAAATGACTATAAAATATATAAAATCCTTAAGGTTCACCCAAACACAGAGTAAGACTGAAGACTGCCAAATATGCAAAAATCAGCTGCATATTGTCCAGTTTTGTGGCTAACACAGCCTAGAATGAGACTGCTTTGGTTGGAATCCTGGTTTTACCTCTAAAGTGGATGACCTGGTACAAATTTCTTAACTGTGCCTCAGTGCTCCTTGGAGAAATGACTGAAAAAACAAGGTGAGCTTAGGTCATTTTGTAATGCAAGAAGATAAAAGGAAAAGAGCATGTCAAAGGGACACAGGAACAAAGTTCCCAATGGCCAATGCTAGAATGATTCAAGCAACAAAATACATTATTATTAATTAAAACCAAAAGTATAAAATAAACACATATTTCATAGTAATACAAATAAGGAGGGGAATGGTACAAATCTTTACAGAAGTACATATTCATATATGTAGATATATGTCACTCTATGAATTTGAACTTAATTCCCCCCTCCCCTCTTGAATGTGGGCTGGATTTGGTGACTCTCTTCTAAAAAGTGAAAAGGGAAAAGTAACTTGGTGGTAAAAAAACCTGGCAAACATAGCATTAACCAAGTGATCACAGTTAACATTTGCAAGTAATACTTCAACATCACTTGCTCTCTAATCTAATGTGAAAAGAAGCAAACTTTGCTTCTGTGCTATTTCTCCCAAACCCTGTAATCCCAGTCTAGTCATGAGAAAAACATCAGGCAAACCCAAATTGAGGGGCACTCTACAATTCATACACTTGATCTTAGCCAAAAGACCTAGATGAGATATACTCTACAATTCCTGTCCTCAAAACTGTCAAGGACATGAAAAACAATGTGGTATATTCATACAATAGAATACTGTTCAGTTACAAAAAGGAGTGAAAAATCGGTGACATAGATGAACCTTGGAAAGAACTAGAAAAAAAAAAAAAGACACAAAGGACACATATTGCATGATTCTATACAGACAAATTGAGACAAAGTAGTTCATTACATAAAAATGGTCCTCAGTGGTTGGTAGGGGGTGAAGTAAATGGGATGTGTCTGCTAATAAATACGGAGTTTCAATGGGGGGTTAATATGTTCTAGAATTAAGATAGCAGTGATGGTTGTACAACCTTGGAATTACACTAAAACTAATGAACTGCATACTTAACAATGGTAAATTATAGGCTGTGTGAATTACATCTAATGGAAAAAAAATTAATATCTACCTTATAAAGACTGAGTTAATAAAGATTTAAAGCTGCTAGCCAGGCACCAAAGGCTCATGGTTGTAAACCTAATGACTTGGGAGGTTGAGAAGGGGAGAATCAGATTCTAGGCCAGCCTTGGCAGGAAAAAAAAAAAAAAGCAAGACCCTATGTCCAAAATAATCAGGGTAAACAGGGCTGGAGGCATGGCTCAAGTGGTAGAGCACCTGTCAACTAAGTATGAAGCCCAGAGTTTGAACCCCAGTACCTCCACCAAGAAAAGGAAGAAGGAAAAAGAAAAGATTTAAAGCTTCTGCTACTGTTGTCATCATTACTTTTAAGACTCTATGCTGGACACTGGAGAAAATAAAAGACGACCTAGGTCTTCTCTAAGTCTTCCTAATCCAGTGAAAAAGACCAACATACATTTATTTACACTAGGGCAGGCATGCCCATTATCAACATGTTTTCAACACATGCTTATTAAAGTCACTCAGTATATTTCAAGTAATAAATAGTTCACATAACATTTTCAAGACCCTTTTACACTCTTTAAATCACTGAGCTCTGAACAATGAACATACACTTAAACAATGAAGGACAGGAATGTAAAACACGTCCTGTTAGGGGGAGTAACTATGGGGAAGGGGGAGGGTGAGTGGAGAGGGTAAAGGAGGGTGAATATGGTCCATGCATTTTATATACATGTATGAATACAGAAAATTGAAACCTGTCAAGATCATTTGGGGTAGGGGTAGAATGATGGAGGGATAAACCTAATTAAGGTGCTTTATAAGCATATGTGGAAATGTCACAATGAAACCCCTGTACAACTATTATATGCTAATAAAAATTTTTAAGAAGTTCAAAATCATTGAGGATTCCAGAGTTTTTGTTAATCAGTTATACCTATTTATATTTTCTACAAGAAATTTAAACATGTTTAAAATAATTAATTCACTTGAAAATACACACTCATTACATGCTAACATAACTAACATTTTAGTGAAAAACATTTTTCAACACAAAATAAACCTTGACAGCTGGCATTATTTTACATTCCCGTAAATCTTAATGTCTTACTTAGTACAAGACAGAGGAATTTTCACAACTGCTTCTACAATCTGTTGTGCTTTGTTGTTTTAGCTTAAGTTTATGAAAAAAACCCAAACTAACAGTTATATAGCTTAAGAGCTTTCACATAACTGTGGATATTCTTCAATATTACATCAAACGAGACATTCCTAAAGGTTAGTTATGGAATCTGAAACTACAGCAATAAACTTTCTGTGTTGTTACATTAAGCCCAATTAACTCTGAACGGATCCTTTTACCCATACATAAAGTTTATAATGTCATGAACTGGCTCTTTGGAAAATACTGGTTCCCTGGGCTTTTGAAGATATTCCAAATGTTGACGCATTTCATTATGCAATCGGAAATAAAACCACATTCATTAATATCACCCACATACACTCTACTTTTTCTGATGTTTTAATGAGATGGCAGAAAATTAGTATTTATTTCATAATATACTCTATAGAACACGCTTTTTAACATTTCTTATTAGTATATAATAGTTGTACAGGAGGTGGTGGTGTAGCATTTCCATATATTTGTACATATGTACCCTGGTTTGGTTCATCCCCTCCATTATTCCCCTTATTAAAATGACCCTAACAGGTTTCAATGTTCTATATTCATACATGTGTAGAAAATAAATTACCATATTTCACTCTCTATGACCTTCTCCTAAACATGATCTGTTTTGTATGTCTGTCCTTCATTATGTGTCTGTTTGTTGTTCAGTGTGGTTTTGCCTTAGTATTTTGCCTGTAAATATACTGTGCTTTAATCAGTCTAATCCCCGCTTTACTCATCCTTACCCTCTCCCCCTACCCCGTATTGTTCAATAATTTTCAGTATGCTTCATTGTGTCTTATTCCTACACAGATGTGATGCATTTCAGTATTATTAGCAAGCTCTTCTATCCCTCTTCCCCCAGTCTCCTCTAATAGCTCCACTGTTGGAAACATTCTTATTCTCTCTCTATATATACATATACACGTGTATACCCACACACATATATATGTGTATATTTATACACATGTATATATATTTGTATATGATAATGCTTATATTTGGATCTGTCTTCTACATGAGAGAAATGTGTTCTTTTATAGAACACATTTTAACATAGGAAAAAGTAATTAACAGGATTTCCAAGCTAGAACACAAAAATCTATCCAATCTGTCACACAGTTGAAAATTTATACATGTTCAATGAGTTTACCATATAGCTTTTCATTACAATACCAGGCTTTTGTGAGT